ATTTTAGTTATTGCACGGCATGACAGCTCAGCCTACCCTTATCCCAACACTATTTTAGAGTACCTTACGAATGCAAAGGTAGAGCCTATAGATTTTCACACTAAGGTGAAGCCGAAGAAGCCATTCAACTGGTATTCACTGATAGATGTGAGCAACCAAAAGAAGAAAATCCAGCCTTCTACCACCACAACCTAGTCTGATGAGCCAACAGTGGTAGCTTCTGAGGCAGCTGATCTTCCATCCACCTTTGTTGAGTCTTCTACCAGTGCCACTGCAATGCCTCCGCCATCATCTTCAGCACCTACCACAGCCCTTAGAGTTGCTCTAAAGCCAGTTCCCGTGCCCATAGTTCCTCTATCTGCTCTGCGAGTCTCCTAAACATTGGCGAGTCTCAACAACTGGATGTAAATAACTACTTCTAAGTTGTCTGACTTGTCTAGTACTTTTGCAGTGCAATCTACTTCTCAGGCACCACAGGCTCCTTCTGACATTGATGAGATACTGAAGAAGATTTTGGAGAACCAGAAGACCGTCATGGACACTTTGGTACAACACGGGTCAGTTATTGAGGAGCTGGAAAAGGAAGTAAAGAAGATGAGGAAGTCCCAGGTAAGCAAGAAATCAGTGGACAAGCTCCGGCGGGAGGTGACTAGACTTGCTATAGCTGGAGACCTTCCTTTTGATATGCTGCTTGGCCCATACCAGTCCGCCCCATATCCTTCAGCACCATCTGCACCGATAGCACCAGCTGGCCAGTCTGACGAGCCAGACATTACTGCCGATACTGCTGAGGTGGTGCATGCGATATTCAACAACCCATCCACGCCTAGGTTTGATGATGATGAGATTCATTTGGTTGATCCTGAGGGAGATGACATTGCTGGGGATACTGAGATGCCCAAGGATCCTTAGGGAGTTTTTCTTCACCCTCTCTCCTTTTACTCTTATTTTGCAAAGCATTGGGGACAATGCTTACTTTTATTCGGGGGGGTGGAGTTTACTTGATACATTGACACATTTTGGATACAATTTGGTCTGTAATAATTTGATGATATTCTTTCTTTTCTTATCTGTATTTATCTATCTTTTCTTATGTATATCTATCTATCTTTAGTAGTCATTGCTCATTAGCTTCTTTATTTTTTTCATATTAGTTCTTGTTTTGTTAAGTAGCTTCTTTTTGTGCTTTAGTAGATAATAAGGCTTTGGTTTTCTTAACGCCACGATTCTTTTCAAAGGTAGTTTTTGTGTGAACAGGGTGACTCGTCCCAACGGTAGATGGCATGGCAACCTTCTTAAGGGAATGAGTCAATTTTTGTGTTTAGGTAATAATAGTAGTAGTAATGAATAAAAAGACCTAATCAAGTCATTCTCGAAGAGTTAATTATGCTTCATTTTGTACCAACACACTTAACTACGTACTTATGATTAGAGACAAGGTTTTTGAAAGAAATATCTCTAGTTAGTGACTTTGTGACTCTTGAGTTGACTTTGGTGATCATCGAGTTGTTTATTGGACCATAGTGATCTTTAAACTTGAATACGGTCGTTGTAGGCTCTCGACTCTATCCTCTTTTACAATCTAGTTGTATGCGGGGTAAGATGAATTGTTGTTAGTCCAAGTATCCGTGTGAATGGTCTTGAACTTGCCCCGAATGTGTTTCAAAGCGAAATCCTAAGTTTTGCTTGATTTGAAAAGTGATTGTAGGATTTACTTGATCCATTTGAGCTTTCTATTGCCAACCAATGTCGTTATCCCTAGTCAACCCCCTTTGAGCCTCTAGCCTTTCTCATTTGATAACCATGTTATAAACCTTTACCCATTTTATCGTGATCCTCTCTTGGCACCCGGACTTTGCTTAACACTCTTGTGAAATAAGTGGCTTAAAGTATAAGTTTGGGAGAGAGATGAGGAATTTTAAAAAGGTATCAAGGCACAAAAAGAGAAAATAAATTATCTCTATGAAAAGAGAAGGCAAGAAAAGAAAAGAACAAAAAGAAAAATACAAAAAGGTGAATAAGTAGAAGGGTTGATGGATTCAAAAAGAGGTAATGATCCCTAACATGAGCAATCAAAAAGGGATAACAAAAATGAAATAAACAAGAAAGAGTGATGTTAAGTCTCTCTAGTCCCCAATAAAAAGAAAATGCCTCTAAGAATTGGTAATCGTGAGCCGAGAAATGAAAATGTGGAGTGCTTAAGGAAAGGTGTAACCACTTACCCATATGGTATCCTACCCTAATCCAAAAGCCTTCATTACAACCCAAAAGAAGTCCTACTTGATTTCGAACCGAGTAAGCTTATATTAGTGGTGATCTACATGAGGGGCAAGCCTATGGTACTTGAAGTCGTACTTGTGACATTCTCTTGTGAGAGACGAGTGAAACTTTCATGAATCTTATGATTGAGTGCTAATTTCTTAAGTGAGCTTGGCAAATGGAAAGTAGAGAATGAGGAGTTTGGAGTCTACCATGACCTATATGATAGAACAAGAGTCTTTGATGAGTAAAGTCAATTCTTGAAGATCAAATGTCACATTAGAACTATATGTGCATGAATATTTGACTTGTCACCTTGTTAATAATGCATGAGTAGTGTGGATAATTCTTGGTCCCAACTGATGTATGAATGACTCACCATTGACTCGTTGTAATGAACTATAACTCTTAGGAGGTGGGAACTAATTTATTTACTTGAGGACAAGCAAAGACTTAAGTTTGGGGGAGTTGATAAGTGTGGATTTTGACCACTTATTAGAACCTTTTTGCTTTTATTTTAGTCCGAAAGTATTGCTTTATGTTCCCAAAACTAATGAAAGTATGAAAATAGTAGGAATGTTGGAAGTTTGGGCTCCCGTGATGAAATCCGACTCAAAAAGGAGTGTTCCGACTCACAAGGCAAGAAGGGGTCCACAGAAGAAAGTGCGGACCGCAAAATTCCCTCTGCGGCCGCAGAACAAGTGAAAGAGTCCAGCAGAGTTTTAGCTGATCTATAGACTGTACATGAATTGTGCGGCCGCAGAACAAGGTCTGCACTTACAAATGATTCAAAGTTCAGAGGGTGTGCAAATGACCAAGACTTGAAACCTTACCTGAAGTACGGACCACACAAGAATTATGCGGCCGCAGAAGATGCTTTGCAGCCGCAGACCAGAATTGTGCGGCTGCAGATTCCAAGACCCTTCCAGCTGAAGAAATCTGCAGACCGCACATGGAATTGTGTGGCCGCAGAACCTCCAGAGGGGCATTTTCGTCAGCGAATTTTGGGCCACTATAAATAGACTAGAATCACATTTTTAGGTTAAGTTTCGAAGTTTGAGCTGCTGTAGCCGTTGGATTTTGCTATTTTTGGATGTTTGTGACTATTGTAGGATTTAAACATCATATTTTATCATTTTAATCTTAGATTATGAGTTTAATTATTATTATTTTTTGTTTTCTTCATTTCTCACTATGAGTAGCTAGATTCTTACTAGGATTGTGACCCAACACTAGTGTGTAAATCTTATGGGTATTTAATTTAATGCTTGTTTATGATTGAGTGTTGATTATTTAGCCTAGTTTATGCTTTAATTTTAGAATTAATGGTTGCAAACATTGATTCATGCCTATTTGACTTGGTATTTGCTTGAGAAAGAGAGACATAGTTTGAAAAATTTTGGCTAACAAGAAATTGGGCTAACTAAGAGTTTGATTAGCCTAATTAAAGGGTTTGAACTAGAGATAGTGAAAACCCAACTTGAGCTCATTCAACTATTTAGCTTGATATCTATTTGGGCTTGAGAAAGCCAAATTGGGCAAAATCACTCTATGATCGAGAGGTATTGAGTGAGTAACGTAGAGTTGAGAGTTATAATACACCCCAATCAATAAAATAAGTGTTAACGTATTTAACCCATTAGGCGAACACCTAGGTTAAGGTCACATCCCTAGGTTTTTTTAACTATTTGGAAAAATACCAAAAATAATCATTCGCTTTCTAGTTTATTCTCTTAGCTTAATATTGTTAGAGTAAAATTAGAATTAGAAATCAAAACCCTTTGTTTGGAAGTGCAATTTAGTTATTCCATTTGCTTCGTCAAGTGTATACTCCTAACACCCATAGTAACTCCCTGTGGAAATCAACCCCGACTCTTGTTGGGTACTATTCTTCCAACGATCGTTTTCACTCATTATTGAGTACGGATTGGACGTGGATCAGGTCCTATGGCCTCCATGTACTTGTTAGAAGTGTAATAAGTACAACCTTCCGAGCTGATGTGGCATAGAGAATGTAAATCACTCTCTTGAAGAGAGTGAGAGGTAAAAAAAAGTTACTATTAAAAAGTTATTTTTATAAGTATTTCTTTCATTAAATATTAATTTTTCTAGTTTTTTTCTTTTTGGTTTTTTTCTCTTCCTTTCTTTTTTTGTTCTTCTTTCTCTTTGGCGTGAAACTATGGCTTCCTTCAGTCTTTTCCTTCTTTATTACCCCTCTTTTCTCCTATTTTCTTCACCAATATTTAGTGGGCGTTTGGACATAAGAATTGTAAAATTTCGAAAAAAGTAAAAATAAATTTCAAGTGAAAATGGTATTTGAAAATTGAAATTTTATTTGGACATGAATATAATTTTGGGTTGTTCTTGAATTTTTGTGAGTGATCTGAGTGAAAATTTTGAAAAAAACTTTTTAGAGTTTTTTAAATTTTCGAAAAAAATTCAAAATTTATCTTCAAGTGAAACTTGGAAATTTTATGGCCAAACATCGATTTCGGAAAAAAGTAAAAAAAAATTAGAAAAAAGTGAATTTTTTTTTTCATGGCCAAACGGGCTCTTAATCCGCAAACATAATATAAACAAGATCTATTTTTTTCGGTAAGGTTATTTTCTGTCGCTTTCAGTTTTTTATTCAAGTTTTGCGTTGGGCTACCGTTGTTTGCCGGAAAAAATGGGGACCAAGTTTAAAGATCTGAAATTTGAAGTAATCACTTACTTGGAGATTTGAAATTTCACCAATTGTAGAGAATGAAAAAGAAGGAGAAAAGAAAAAGAAGAAGAAGAAAACAAGAAAAATTGACGGGTGCGAAAGGACCCATCGATTGTAATAGTAATTTTGATTAGCGGTGGTAAATTTGATTTCCGGTGGACATGGGTGACCTTTGATAGGATTAAAACCTGAACCTAAGAAGGTAAAAAATAAAAATTTCCAATTTTGGTATTTGGGGCCTCGTGACAGTGAATTACTCCATAAATACCTTCGAGGGCCCCCTGAAAAATAAATCGAAAATAAATTAAATAAACAGAAAACTGAATAAATGAGCATAAAGGAACAAGGTTGCAAAAAAAGTAAGCACTTGACCATCTTTACTACAACAGAAACAGAAAGGCTCCTCTTGTATTCCTCTGCTTCCATTCTTAAGTGATCAATCAACTAGTAGTATCTTTTTTCCTAGGGAGAAAAAGAAAAACAACAGATTGTAGCAAATACAAACATGTCTTTAGGTTATGCTGAGAAACTCTCATTTATAGAAGATGTGGGCAATGTTGGAATGACTGAATATTTCGACCCACCTTACATTTTGCAAGACAAAGTAAGATATTTTCCTTTACATTATTTATCTGCAACCCTTTTACTCTTTTTTGTTACTTGTTAATTTATTTCACTTGTTTGATCATTTTATCTGACTGCAAATACCCATAAAAAATTGTTTAGGTTTTTGTGCTTAATTAAGAATGGAAGTTTAGGAACTGGGGTCTTCTTTGATTGCTTGATAGTTTGCATTTAGTTTTTTCATGAGATCTAGATTTAATCCCCACATTACTGAGCGTGGGGTAATCACAATTTCCTTAATCTTATTGGCCATGAGCAAAATGTTAAACATGTTAAGGATTATACCCTGTGAGTTTATGCATTTAATGCTGCGATCATCGTTCCTTTTGCTATTGTCTGCTATGTTAAGGGCTTAAGGTTTAGCATAAGTTAATTATCGATAAAAAATGGATTAGCATTTGGTAATCAGTTGCTGATTCTATTGCTAACATTAGCCAGAAACCTTCTGGTAAAACTGACTAAAGTAAGAAAATGATAAGCAGCATTTCAAATCATATGCTGCATTTCAAATCGTATGCTGCTTACCTCTTCTATAGTATTTGTTGGGAAAAATAATTGGACTATATTGAAAGGAGAGAAGAAGGAATGAAGATATCAAATACTCCTTCCATTTCAAATTAGACGAGCTACTTTCTTTTTTAGTCAGCTTCAAAATAAATGACACATTTCTAAATTTGGAAATAATTCAACTTTAAACTCTTCATTTTACCCATTTTACCCTTAGTGAGAAACTTTTATAACGATACAAATGTCATGGCCCCACAAAGCTTTTACCCCTTAAGCTTTTAAGACCACAAGTTTCAAAAGTCTTTTTTTTCCCCTTAAACTCCGTGCCGAATCAAACTAACTCATCTAAATTGAAACGGAGAGATTAATATATAACAATCTAAGAGACTCGGGGGCGGAGCTAGGTTTAGCTAAGGGGTTCAATTGAATTCACTTTGTCGGAAATTTATACTTTGCACATAGGGTAAAGACGACTTTTTTTGGTTATATAAACTGTTGAATCCCCTTGATATAAGAAAATATTCTTGTGTAGAGGTAAAGGGGGTTCAAAAATTGCTTTAGGTCATAAGTTTTAATCTCAAATGTGGCATTCTAGTAATTTTTTGAATCCGCTTACATAAATTTTCTGCTTCCACCACTTCTAAGAGCACCTGGATAGTACGCCTAACTTATGGTTGTTCATTAGGAATGGTATTTGAAATTTTGAAGTTCCCACTGCTGTAGAGGATATGCTTTCCAACTTTTCGTTATTGTGATCTAGGCAAAAGATGGCAGATGTATAGAAATTGTCCTAAATTGCATACTATGTCATCGTTACCATTTCCTATTGTCATGCCGTGCTGTTGCTTTGTCTTTGTTAGAATTCTTGGACCCAGGTACATTCTCTTGTTGTTCTCACGTTAAAGTGCAAAATTATTGGTAATAATAAAGGAAAGAACGCAAAGTAGATTTTGATTGCTGAATCCATTATGCTGTTATGATTTTCTTGAAAATCAGTACTTTCTGGTGCTGGAGGATCTTCCGTTTCTTTCAGCTGCTTGTCAAAGATCAGTTAAAAGGGCGAAGCACTTTATTTTTCTATGTTCTTACTAATGTTTTTTTTAAATTATATAAAACTTTGCAGATTGAGAGACTTGCTGTGATGATACAAAAGGTGAGTGCTTAAACTGTTGTGGTCTTAGCTATGCTATGTATAGCTTTTTCCTTTAGAAGTAACCCGTTCTAACTCTTGTTTCTTTTACAGAGTAAGCATTTAGTTGTGTTTACTGGAGCAGGAATATCCACGTCTTGTGGTATACCTGATTTTCGTGGTCCCAAGGGCATTTGGACTCTTCAGGTAGTATCGTAGATATTTCAGTTAACTGCAAACCCCTGTTTCTTAAAGCACGATTCTTGACATATTGTTTCTACCTTTTGATACCCATGTTAAAATGTTAAGACTTGAGAATTGAATACTGCCCCTTCGACCAAATTCTTGCTAATTTGGTCGGTCTTCATCTCCGATCCTTCTTTTCTACCTGCATTGTCATCTTTTTAGGCTAGATGTAGCAAACTGAGAGGATGTCTTGATCATCTGAAGGTGGTGTAGAACTTGGTTTTTGTGTATTTGATCTGGAAAAGTTATATGAATAAGTGGTTATATGCACCGTGCACAATAGTGACATGAATAAATGAAAGTGGCCTTGAAAGCATGATCTATCTTACGATTGGGGGAGCTGTTTTCTCCTTCGAGAGTTAATTAAATCTACCGACATGCATGAATACCTACCACAATTGAAAGAGAAAATAATATATCATTATTTCTCTTTTTTATGTGGTGTTGTTTGTGTGTAGTGTCTAGTTCTCTTATTTCATTTTGATATTGTTTTGACTAGTAATCTTCTTCACTAAGTAAGAAGAAGTTGAAAAAGACCTAAAGTTTATACTTGCATTAGGAAAGAGCTCAAGCATTATCTCTTTTTTTTTTTGGATAACTGTAGTGTCTAGGTCAGTTTGCGCTCACCTCGACTATTTCATGGGTACTTGCTATCTTCCTCTAGCAAAAGTATCGGGTAACTCTGCCCATCAAGGCTTAGGAGATGAGAATACATCATCTATCGTTTTTGTCTTTGTTGAGATTTAAATCCTGGTTTCCTAGATTTTCACCCACTTCATGGACAGTTATGCACACTCTTGGGTGCATAAGCATTTGTATTATTATTGTTCATTGAGACATGAAAAGAGTACTCCTATTATTTAGAGCATCTAATAGGCAACATTGCAGTAATGTGATCAGGATCAAACCATGGTTATGATGTGAATATTTGTATATAGCATCGGAACATTTACCACGAATTAGAATTCTATGATAATTCATCCTTTCAAAAGAATAACGGGCTATAATGTATCTTCTTATCCCTTTTATTTAACTGACTTGTAGAGAGAAGGGAAAGCGCTACCAGAAGCATCTTTGCCATTTCACCGTGCAACGCCGAGCATGACACACATGGCCCTAGTTGAACTAGAGAAGGCGGGTTTTCTAAAGTTTATTATAAGCCAGGTGTGGCATTATTAGTTTTCTTACTATATATGGGTGTACTTAACATTTGTAGGTTTATTATCACTTCCACCGTTTGCGTTTATTTTCTTGTGATTAGTTATTTTCGTGCACAGAGTAATTTCATTCTCTGCTTCCACGATTTGAATGAAATGAGCCCGAATAAGGTGGGGGATATAGAGGATTCATATAGCCAACCTTAACTAGTTCAAATTGATGTGAATTTGATTAATTGATGTCTTCATTTATGTTTTGCGCTGTTCTGAGTGTCTTTACTGTTGACTTGCCGGAAGCAACAGAACAAGGGCAACATCTTAATTCCAATTTAATCAAAAATTTTGGGTATACTTTATGGTAGTGCTGTAGATGCATTCCGTTGCTCCTTCCGAACTTTTTCCATTTCTCCCTCAGCCCAACAAACTTAGTTCAACCAATCAGAGAGAGGGAGGGAGAGAGAACCTAGTTATTTGTGTTCAAAATATGACCTTTCACTTTATCAAGGGATGTTTATTCTACTTAAATGCTAAGCCTCAGATTCCATTTATGTAGTTTCAACTGTCTACTTCCAAAAATGTTCAGATTTATTTTCCTTGGTATAATATTCAAGTGTCACATCATACTTATTTGAAAATGGTAGAACATTGATGGCCTGCATCTTCGCTCTGGAATTCCAAGGAAGAAGCTTGCAGAATTACATGGGGATTCTTTTATGGAACTATGCCCTTCTTGCGGAATTGAGTAAGACGTCATCTTTTTCTGCAACACACTATCCTGATATTATGCATGTTCCCACAGTTCATGCGACTCTTTTGGAGCCTTTTGGTATATTCACACTCATGTTTATCCACTCAGTTTTTTGTTTTATTTTATGTATGTTGCTTCTTCTGGTAACTATATGGTGATTGCTTATAAGAGTCTATTTATGAATTGACCCATGAAGGTATATGAGGGATTTTGAAATAGAAACTATTGGGTTGAAGGAAACTGCACGACGTTGTTCCAAGGTGGGCTGTGGTGCGAGACTTAGAGACACAGTTCTTGACTGGGAGGTAATGATAAACAGCATTGTGTTTAATAACAAAGTCCTAGGATCTGAGCTTCTCTTTATAGTTGTACAGTGACATTCCATTGCCTTTTAATGGTGACCGTAAAGATATGGTCTTCTTTAAGCTAGAAATATGACGACATTAGTCCATTTTTCCTAATGAAAATCAATCCCTACCTAACGAAATGTATTGATGAATTTGGTATTTTTCACTGTATCTGAACTTTAACTCGATTACATCACTACTTCAAAGAAAAAAAAAGAAGTGCCAACATCCCTGTGAAGGATATTATGCATACTCCATCTTGTGCTACTGATTCTAAATGTAGATTCTGTGATAGTATTTTGATACACATCTAATTTCTAAAAGGATTAGTACGAAATAGAATTTATAGTTTTTATGGATTCTAAGTAACTTGTGGTCAACATTGCATAACCAGAAGTTTGACGGGTTGTAGCCTCATGAGCATCCAATGATTAAGTCAAAAAGTTGTAAAAGTTTTGATGATTTATTTTTTTCCTGTTATTTGGGCCAAAACGCCAAGATTGTTATAGCCAAAAAGATGATTCCACCTATGACTCTTTTGTTGACCTCTTCCTTTGCCCTCCCGTGTTTTTGTCCTAAGGATGCTCTACCTCCAAAGGAGATGAATCCAGCTGAGAGGCACTGCAAAATGGCTGATGTTGTGCTATGTCTGGGAACAAGGTAAAGCTAAATTATCTGTTTGACTGCCTCCATAATCTGGAATTCTGATGCATGATGCTAAAATAACGAGTTCTTACAGTGTTTGTTGACTCTCAACTGTTAAACCATTACTTCCGTCATTCTTCGACCTTAATCATGTCATGTCACAAGTGAGCATGACTTGTTTTACTGTTGCAGTTTGCAGATCACCCCTGCCTGTAATTTGCCTCTAAAATCACTCAAAGGTGGTGGAAAGNACTAGTGGCCTGTAAATAAGTTTGCCAAAATCACTTTCCAGCATCAATAAACAGTTAGCAACTGTTTTTAGAGTGTAAATGCTTTTTATTTCACCTCGTGTTCAGGAAACATTTTTATGAAGGTGACTAAGGTTTAATTTTCACAATCCAATATGTGGGGATCCAAAAATGCAAGACTTGTCTAAACAGCAATAATAATGGTTCCACAAGAATTGAACATGAGCCAACACGAAGGAGAAGGAAGTGTTCTTTACGAGCTGTCAACTTGGCTTTTGATCTTTCTGTACTGCCATGTTTTAACCAAAACCAGCAAATGTTACTTTCTGTTCTCAAATAAATGCAGTTGTTTCTTCCTCAATCACTAAATCATATAGGTAAAGCAATCATTTTCCTTACAGTGCACATATGGGGCTCCTAGGTTAGTCTGCTGTACTTTGCCATGATAAAGGATTCAGGACTTGCTTATCAGAGCCATAAAAAAAAGAAAAAGAAGATCAAGGATTTCAGGTTCTTTAGATGCTTAAGCTTGAATTTTCTACTAGGTCAAATATAAGATCAGAGGGAATAAGAAAGAAAATCTTTAATTAGCCTGAGGATGAAACTTTAATAAGTTCCATAACCAAAATGAAGATAGGTGAATATCTCATATATTACGATATCCTGTCAATGACTGTACTTGAAATTACTCTCCACCAATCAATCTATGGAAAACGATACTGGATTAATAGAAGCTCATCTGTGGCCTAGCTCTTATTTCCCTCTTCCATTATTTTGCAGAAAACACCCAAGGACAAGAAAGCAACCATGCTGATTCATGGCCTTGTAGACAAGGTATCGTATTTGTGTTGCTGTATGATTGTATCCCTTCGGAGCTACTATGCCGCTGATACTTGTTATTACGGTCCATAGTTTTTTAAAATGTTACTATTGCTTGGTGAGCTTTCACATGTAGAATTACTAAATGGAATATTCTACCTTCATCTGGCTACTTGGACTTAGCAGGTGCTAAACCGCTTACTAGCCCAAAGTGCACGTTGATTCTTTTGCCAAGTGCTTATAGAGCAATCTTCATTCATCCTGCTCGGCTGATACAGGACAATAAGGGGTATCACAGCCCCCCGTCCCCCCCAAAAAAAAAAAAAAAAAAAAAAAAAAAAAAAAA